TCAAAGAATTGCACTTAGACTATTACTTGAGAAATCCAAACAACGATTACCTAACTTAAGAGCTGGTATCAGAGGAAAGAAGGAAAAGGAAGAGGAAATGAAAAGGGGATAACAATTAAAAAGAAGAACGCAGGAAGATAAGCAGGTAGATGTATCAGATTTAGGATACCTTGGCTTCTGCTGGCTTTACTTCAAACGCACAGTCTTTTCTGTTTCCCAAAATCTTAAGAGTATGCCATTTCCCTGTTGTATTCACAACTAATTCACAAAGTAAAAGAATACAGCCTTGAAAAACGTGAATTGGCTTAATTATAGTAAGCAGAAACAGACATAACTTGAAAGAATAATTATCTGATTCCTCAACCTAATTTTCAAACACCTTCTATTCGGGAATAACAGTGAATACACCTGAAAAATCAGTTTTTACAATGATATAACTCCTCCATCATACAAAACACTCTGATTTTCAAGTTCTTAGATTTGATCCCTTCCCTTGAAAGATACTCTTTTTCATGTACAGAGACTTCAAGGTGGAAGAAATATGAATTTGGTAATCTGAAATGTCTCCCACCTCAAAGACCAAAGATGTTTTTAGAAACTTAGATGACTACAATAAACTAGTTTTCTTGTTTAGAGATTAAATAACATGGAAAGTTGTGTTGTTTTTGTTTTTAACTTTCACTTCACTCTTTGGCACAGAAAACCAATTACTTCTGAGTTGGTTGCTCTCAAATTCATATGATGAAGCCTCAAAGCCCAATGTGACTGTGTTTGGAGATAGACCCTGGAAGTAGGTAAAAGTTAAGTAAGGTCATTAGGGTGGGGCTATTATCTGAAAGAACTGGTGTCCTTATAAGAGGAAGAGATCAGAGCATGCTTTCTCCACACACGCATGGAGAAAAGGTCATCTAAGGACACTGCAAGGAGGCGACTGTCTACAAGCCAGGAAGAGAAACCTCACCAGAAACAGAATTTGTCAGCACCTTGACTGTGAACTTTTAGCCTCCAGAACTCTGTGAAAAAAATATCTTCTTTAAGTCACTCATCTGTGGTATTTTGTTATGGCAGCCCAAGCATACCATATAACCTCTAGAAGAGAGAAGCTTCTATTTTTGAGATAGTTTTACTCTACTAATAATCCTGCCCAATAATAGGTAACTGATAGCTGTTACAAAGGTGATTCATTTACAAAGAGAAGCATTTGGAACAATTTGAAGAATAAGTCACCCTAAAATGATTTATTATATGCTATTCTAAATTAAATTAAATTATCATTTAGAAATAGCATAAAACTTTGAAGCATAAGAGATATCATTCTGCTGTGCCTGATTCTGGGTGTGAGGGCACAATATCAATACAGAAAAAATCTAAATTTCAGCCTCACTAGAAAACTGTAGAATAAAAACTTCGATGTAGAATTGCTGATTATTTTGAAATCAAATAATATTTGCTCTACATGGTGAAGAAAGTTTCAGTGGCACTATCTCTTGTACCTTGTGCCTCGAGATTACATAGAATTTGATTTCCTTAATGCTGACACCTCATTAATATTTAAAGTCAAGGCCATAGATCCACATTGGCTATCACTCTGTCCTTAGGACTTTTTCACAGTGGCAAGAAGTGAATTACTGAATCACAGGTGGCTAATATTTCTACCAGATTCACCCTTTCAGTGATAAAGATAAAGCTACTTTTAATTTTTAATAAAAGTACAGAAGAATACATAGGTTCTTACCCATTAGGGACAATTTTTTAAAACTCTTATAGGTGTGTGTGTGTTTAAATATAAATATATTGAAACACATTTTAGACATACACATACTGTCAGATGTCTATTAAAGGTATTTTATAATGCATTCAAGATTCTTGAAGTTTGATCATTTTTTTACTTTCTTAACTACCATTTCTTGAGTGTGTCCCATGTGACAGGCATTGTATCAGGCACTTAACATAATTACCTCATTTAATTATCACAATTCCACAAGGTAGAGCTCATTATCCAATATTAAGATGAGAAAAGAAAATTTCAGAGGTTAAATAATCACCCAAATTCTTTCAGTATAAAAGTGTTAGAACTAGGATTAATGCCTAAGTTTCTCTAAATCCAGAGATGTCTAAGAATATTCTTTTCCCCCAATCTCAGGGAACTATAAACTGTCAAACAAAGCATTGTTTATATACTCCTGGATATTTATATCATCCTAATCCACACAGGCCTGGTAGCAATGTTTTATAAAACCCATGGGATTAATCAAATCAACACTGTCTGAGTAGTTCATTGTGCCATTTTTCAGAAAGCTTAGGAGACAACAATACAATCACTGAATAGGGAATATGACCACAGGTGAAGTAACTCATGGGCTATGACTGTTAACCTTGCTACAGGGTCTGTCTGCATTCTTTCTTTCTAGAATGATTCTTGAAATTGATCTTAAGTAGAAGTATTTGGTTACCATTAAATGGTAAAATTATTATATTACTACCGGAAAAAGCAAAGTACCCATTTTCTCATGCTCTTTCTCTGTATCCAATTAGAGAGTATCTGTTGAGGCTCTGTAACCTATGATACATCAGTAAGGAGTCAGTATGAGTATCGTTATTTCCCTTCTCTAACTCTATGCAAATTGCAGCGGGTCCCGCCTACAGTAATTTTCATTCACTTTAAAACAACTTATAAAACAATAATGTAAGTCTAATATACACTATACTACACCTACTGTATGGTGAAAAAAGTGATAACGTCGAGCTGTATCAATTCCTCACTCCTTAAAATCTGTCACAGATAGGGTATCATAGCTCACAGTGTTCCATGTAACAACAAGAGGATTCACAGGCAAATAATTTTACATGTTAAATAAACAGATTCATTTACTACAGGACTTCTTGGAAACTTAATATACTAGGTGCATTCTGTCTGTCTAGAAGAGCCCTAGATAGGATTATGCAGATACAGTACTTAAAATATGCACTGTACCTCATCTCTCTTAAAAGGCCACTCCTAACTATGGGGTGGCCATGGGATGTGTTTTAGCCAATGAAATATGACAGGTAGTGATCTGTGCCACCTCCAAGCAGCAGTTTTAAGAGCCCAGATTCCACCATCATTCCTGTCTCCTTCTGCCACAAGTCTTGTGCATCCCAGAGACGCTGTCCTTCAGCTTTGGTCCAGGAAAGAAGAGGACATGGAGCAGAGTGGCAGCAGACTCATCAGGACTACAGGAACATGAGAGAGAAACTTTCACTGCTATAAACCACTAAGATTTGGGGGCTTTTTGGATAATAAAATGTAAGTTTGTCTAAACTGACTAATGCAGCATGTTTCCAAGATTTTTAAACCCTGGCATCACTCTGCCAGGTAATACCTTCCATGATTTGTTTCCTAAATTACTCCTGATTTTGTATGGCATATTTTCTGTTAGTCACTACTGCATTTAAGATGAATACATATGTATGCAAAGAAATAAACAGTCTCAGGTTTTCTTAAATTTTACCAGCAATTGGATTTTCAGTCAATTTCTGCCTATATTCAATAAAAATATTTTACTGAAATAATCTGATTAACATTCAGAAATCACAGATTGGATGGCTACTTAAGTCAAGACTGCCATACAAGTGCTAATTAATGATTTGGTTTTCTGAATAGGTAATATAAAAGGTCCTGGTTCACTTATGTATGTATTCACGTTTAACAAATTCAAAATACTGCCACAAATTTAATTTTCTTTAAATTTCACTATACTCAACTCCCTTTACGATTAGTAATCGAGAACATATTTGAAATTTCAGTATCGATATTCAAATATTCTATAGTCTAGCCTGCTGACCCAGTAAAACCATAAGCTGTATCCTAACTGGCATTCTTAAATTCAGAATTTGTATTTCTAACTTAACTGTGCCTTAAAGGATAGCACAGAAAGGAAGAAATAAACTAAATTCTAATTTTTGTTTCAATATCCTATTAAACACACTTTCAAGCTAAATCGCATTTATTTTTACAGTGTGTCAATCCTAGACCATAACATTCAGAAGAATGGTTAGAAGTCTTATATTTACATTTGGCTGTACCACAAAAGCAACATTCAGTTATATGCTTACTAAAACAAAAAGGTAGACACAGATATTCTAGGCAGGCGTAAGCTATCAAAAATACTTATGAACAGAAATGATTTAAGATTAATTTTCAATGAATCTAACAACTGAAGAGTAACTTAATGTCCTGAAAAATACAAATAAACAATATTTACTCTTTCTGTTCATTTTCATTTACATCAAATTCCTTGGTCTTACAAATCACCAGTTCACCATAAAGTGTTCAGTAACGCAATCATGTTTTTACATGTGTATTTAAGTAGAGTTTAATTAATCTTAAAATATTCCTAAAAAGGCAGTTAAGAGGAAAGTATTTTAATGAAACTGTGAGTTTCATAGTTTGATATAATGTGCCACATATATATATTTTTAAATCTCAACTTCTTCCTCATTGTATATTTTCATACTCAAAATAGTTTAATGATACTGCTAAACATGCTTCTATTTTACTTTTAATAGTTTTTTAAAAACCTCCATGTTTTGATATTGATTCATTTTTTTTCAATTAAAGCTAAAGGCAGTTTTTAAAAAAACTTTGGGCAACAGACCAGTGTAGTACCTATTTAGGTAAGTATCCTCTAGGTAAGGACTTTAATAAATTAACTTCACCAAACAGCCCATTACTATGGAGAAACAAGCCAGAGATTTTTGAAATAGTTATTTCCTTAAACTTCATGATTTTAAAAGAAAATTTAACTTACTTGATGATTGAGATTAAAATGTCATACTTCAAAAATACTAATAAAATTGATGGAAAAAATACACAATTATCACACTTCCCTGATCAAAACGGAAGGTGAATCCATCAGATGGGGAAAAGCTGAGACCAGATCTGATGACACACAACTCTTGACTGCTTCACTCTTGCTTCCAGGTAACTAAGTGAGATGCACCCCCAGTGAAGCTCTTACCGGTCAAGTCAAGACTTTCCATTGTGATTTCAATGGAACATCAGAACTTCCAGCTTCGGTGATGCAGCAGGATTCTGTGAAGGACCACAGCAAAGTGGTTAAAATGGTGAGCCAGGAAGCCCTTTCAAACAAAGCTGATACTTATTCTCCTTTAGCAAAATAATCCCTAGATAAGGTGAATTAACAGCCAAACAATCAAAACTAGGCAAATTATTAAATATCCCTCTAACTAACACTATTTAGAAAAAAAGACCTAAAGTGTTTATTGTCAACTTTAATTTAACAGAAAAAGTCACTAAAATTACTCAACGAGAACTCTGAGATTAAAGTTACAGAGACAAAGGATTACGGGCAATCGTTTCTCAGCTTTTTGACTATAAAGTGTGGAGTTACAGGAGAATCCTCCAGAAAAACATGACATTAAATTGACACCCTGATGAAATCCAAGTTATCTGAAATGACTAGTCCAAGCCAACCAGTGATTCTGTGGTTCAGATGTTAGTATCTTAGTCTATGTGCTGTCAAAGCGAGCACCAGATGTTAGTATCTTATATTTTATTCTTTAAGTGTTTTAAAGATAATGAGTGAAGCCAAGATTTTTTTTAAGTGGGGAATGGTGGGGGGAACACAATAGAGAAAAGCTGTTTCCTAAAAATTACTTTCTAACTACATGGGATGAACTAAATATAAAAAGATCAAAATCAGCAAAAGAGTATACAAATTAAATGAACATTATACATTAATACTGTCAATATATATCCAAACTGTACCATTTTTAAGAATTAAGTTATTTCCATTTCTGTGTGAGACATGTTCACTTAGTTTCTTGGGTGCTTCAGCGGTAATTCTAATTTCACTCTCAACTAAGAGAGACAATTTCCTGTGCCTCTGCAGATTATGACAATATATTTCTTTATAATCAGTAGGTTATAACACACTCTAGAAATCGGATATCACTTACTGTCTTACAGCTTTATCAATACTGTTAGTCATTTTATGACTTGGCTAAAGTTTTTCCTAATTAGCCACCATGATTTGGAAGAATTAAATATCAAAAATGTGTAATGATTCATCTGAGTAATCCTAATTAGACTTAGATGATTCAGTTGTCACCCAGTGCTACTGAAAAAAAAAGCTGAAAAGAATGAGTAAAATATTAAACGGTCTCCTGTGGCTTCACACAAGATACTACTCATTCATCCACATTTTTTAAAACAAAGGTATGGATAAAAGAATAAATCCAGATCTTTGAAGCAAACTACAAGGGACATTTATGAATACTTCCAAATTAAATGCCTGTTTTTTACCAAGGAAGCATACAATTTCAAAAACTGATTAAATGGTATAAAAGTCTATCCTGAATTATCATGAAATAGGCAACTAAAATTATTATAAAAATACTGTTTTAAGAAAATTACATACACCATCTCATATTTTTATTTCCATACATTTTCTTCATATAAACCCATAAAAACCAGTAGAGAGAAGAACCATTAAAATAAACACTGTAAAATAAACAGATAAAAATCATGAATATCTATAAATAACTATCAAGTGAATAAATTGGCATAAGCTAAAAAAAATAAATATAATCAGTACTGCCAAAATTGGGAGCAAAGGGTCCATCATTAATTTTGACAGTGTGGGTTTCATTCTTATTTTGGTTTAGAGATTTGCTAACTTTGTAGCTTAAGAAGTCAGTGCATGCTATCTGAAATAAAATACACTAATACATCCTATATACAGAAGTTCTTTTAGGAGCTCAAAATTAAATTCTCACTAATCTTAAGGAATCCTTTATAGATCTGTCTGTTTCTACAATCAGATACATACCTAAAAATGGACCATATCTATGCCTTATTTTGACTGTTGTTCAATAATTTATCACCTGTGCTGCTCCTATTTATGGATAAAGTGGTCAGGGAGAGGAAGGACGTTGACTGTGCTGTGGCTAATATGGGTTTTAAAACTCAGGATAACAAAGAAATCGTGTTGGACTTAACTGACTAGGAGGGAGAAGCCAGGGAATCAAACACAGAGCAGAGGTCAATTTTGAGGCTGAAGATCTTGCCAGAGACAGACTCCCTTTGAGCTCTCTGACAGCCCAACTTAAAGACTCCAGATTTTATCTGGCTATTACAAACGCCCACATGGGTAGCTTCAGAAAAGCAGTTTCAGCATAAGCTGTTCTGCATTTAAGTTACAAGTGCTTCACAGAGTGTTTTGATTTGATGGAAATGGGTGGCTGTGTGAAGTGTCAGAAGGACAGGTGGGCAAGAAGGGGAAATGTCTAAAGGGTGAACACAACCCTGCAGAATGGTGATTTGAATATGCCCTTAGACCAAAGCCAGGACAGATCTCCCAAGGAGCCACCCCATGCCTGTCTGTGTCCTCTGGGTTCCACTATGGCTTCCTCTTAACCCTCACTCTCACCCATACAGGTCCTCGGATTCCTGACTCCCCATGACTTAGCTCCCACTGCCTCATTAAGAACCTGCGGCTTTTTGCTTTCCAAAGCTCATTTCCCACCATGACACTGCCTCCCACAGGATGCACACCTAGCCAGCACTGATCTGGCACAGCTCAGCATTCTCTCTTAAGAAACTCCATCAATGTGGGTGAGAGAGCTAACTATTAAATATCTATTATTTACCTTTTACCACAAATAGGGGCATTTGACTTGGCATCTGAAAAACCCATCTTAAAGATGTGGCCTAAGCAATCACTGAAATATTCCAAAGCAACTGGCTTTCTGGCAGTTTACAGACAGCCCCTTGGGGTCCTATGTTTTGAAAGCTTATTGTACTAAAAAAGGTAAGGTGTCACTTCTTACAATGAGGCAGGCTCCCTCGTTAGTGGTAATGTCCAGTATAACATTCAAAGCCACATCGTGGCAAAATCCCCTTCTATGCCAACAATGTGTGTTTTGCACCCTGATGGCACCACAACCTAGTCAGTGCAGAAGGGACTCCAGGCAACCATGCTGCCCACTTACACAGAAGAATATTTAATCCCCATGAATGACTGCTTTTCTGATGTTTTCATCAATTCTCTGGGTAATAGATTAAGCTTTAACTAACTCATTTTCATACATAACCCTAATTCAATCAAGCTCAATAAAAGTCATTCTGGATTGCAATTATTTGCTAAGGAACGACTGCATTCAAATGAAAAAGAAAAACTTGCTGGGTATGATACAATGCACGGCACAGATGCCTCCCCATTTCCGCAGCCAGAAACAACAACAAAAAGAGCCAAGCTGCTAGAAAAGGAAATAGATTTCTTCCTCATCTTCCTGAAAATAGAATACTCATGTTTTCACACCTGAACAAAACAAAATGGAGAACCCAAGAAAGCAAATTTTAAAATTATTATTTTCAATTACGTTTATGATTTGAGAGAGGCTGCATTTCTAATCTGAGAATCAGCACGACCTCTAAGAGCCAAAACAAGTCCAGGTTACAAATAACAGTGTTAACATCTACTCTTTCACTAAATTTGACACTGGCCTCCTTCATTTTCCCAACAATATGTATTCCAATTTCACTTTATAAAGCAGGTGCTCTTCAGAGATTTTTCCTGTCTTAAAAAGCTACTTCTTTAAATAGATATAATTCTTATATTTCCCTTAATTCACTCTTTTATAGACTACATGTTTACAAATAAAACTTAAATGCAAACTCCAAGCTCGCTCTTCTATGTAAATGTATCATGTTTGTAGGGAAAAAAAAATCCTCATTGATTTAACTAAAGCCTTCCCTTTACTGTGTGTGCATAAGGTCCTCCACCCACCCCGCTGTACTCAATATTCTTTTCATCTCCTCCATAGTAGCACCAGGCACACTACAAAATAACATAGTGCTGAAGATGCATACCAGCTGTGATGCAGTTTTGGCCAATGAATTCCACACCTCAGGTCACTGGTACACTAGAGGTCAAAGGATTTTTTTTTCTAGAAATGATAAGTTCCAGTTAAACTATTTGCTGAAATAAATTATCTTCATGTAGACAAAGATAAATGAATGCAGGAAGATACATATGCTTTTTAACAAAAGACTTGTCTTTATCCATACTTCACATTGTCACTGTCTTTATTTTATGATAGTAACAGTAAAAAGTATGGATAAAGATAACACTTTTGTTAGAGATCACATACCCTGCCTGTCTTTATAGCTGAAGCTTAAACCGCAGCTATTTCACAGGCATTTTTGGCCAGGCACCAATCTTTAACAGAAACTACAAGTGTCAGCTATACTGCGAACAGATATTTCTCAAAAGAAAATGCAAATCTGAAGTATCTCTTTATCACCTTCCCACTCCCTACCCTTGCATTTCCTCATGACCCACAGCCTTTCAGTTAAGAAACCTTAAACATAGTCTTAAAGGCCAAACAACAGTTCTCTAGATACTAACAGTAAACCAAAGTAACAACAAGTCATTACAGATTTGTCCATCTGTTTGGAATTTCCAGAAAGGTGTCAGAAAACACCAGCAGGCAGAGATAGAAAACTTGAGCATTCATTGTTAGACATGGACCTCTTAAAATAGGAAGACAAAAGATTTGAAAATCCTTTCTCCTTCAGTACTCAATACCAACCAATTACAAATTAAGCTTTAATAACTACGTACCACCTATATGCCAATAGCACAGAGATGCAAATGGTATAATCTTTTACAGTCTGAGAAATTATTAATGACCTACTATGTATTAACACGGCAAAAGGTATTATAAGAGTTGTTTCCTGCTCCTGGGCATATATCCAGAAGGGACCCTACTTCAGGATGACACCTGCACCCCAATGTTCATAGCAGCACTATTTACAATAGCCAAGACATGGAAGCAGCCTAAGTGCCCATCAACAGATGACTGGATAAAGAAGGTGTGGTATATTTATACAATGGAATACTACTCAGCCATAAAAATCAACAACATAATGCCTTTGCAGCAACATGGATGCTCCTGGAGAATGTCATTCTAAATGAAGTAAGCCAAGAGAAAGAAAAATATCATATGAGATCGCTCATATGTGGAATCTTAAAAAAAAATATAAATACAAAACACAAATAGACTCAC